GGAGAAGGTGGTTGGCGCTTCAAAAAGGCCTAGAGCCCAGTTACTTCCCAGTGACAGCCTGGGACAGGGTGCCAGTCAGCTCCACGGGGCAGCCCACACAGCTCCCCCATCTGATCCGTCGCCATGCCGAGGTGCCCCACGAGCCTGGACGGGGTAGCAGGAGCGGCCAGGCCCTCCCTGAAGAGCAGGAGCCGTGTGGGCGCAGATAGCCAGGAAACACGGGAAACAGATGTGCGTGCCGGGCCTGACAGGCGAGTGATGACAGACGCGCTCTGCAGGCCTCAGATGTCAGCGCTGAGAAAAGAAAGGCATCGCAGCAGCAACACCTGTTCTGGGCTGGGAGGCCGCACTTGGGGGCTCGCGAGGCGTCCCCACGGTGAGGGGCCAGGGTGCGGTTAGGTAAACAGCTGCACGCTCCATTACCCAGAACGCTCTCCAGACGGAGCTGGAAGAGGGAAGGGCGGCCTGCCCGCCAACTGGCTTGCAAGGAAAGCCAATCGATCATGCAGCTGACCCATCTTGGACGGAGCAGGCCTCTCCCAGCAGCAGGAGGAGTCCCGACTGAAATCTGAACACCTGAGTAATGCTGGGGAGAGCACAGACAAAGGGCACAAGTTGTCAGCAGGCCAGAGGAACAGGGGACAGAGAGCCGGCTAGTGGGGGCTTCTTGGGGCCTCTAGTCCATACAGACACCTCCTGCCTCTCAGCTGCTCTGGGTGGAGGAGGCACATGCAGAGAAAATGATGACCTGCCCCCCGGAAGGCACTGCCACCTTCACAGCTGGAGCCCCAGAGAGGACAGAAAGGCAGGACAGAGTAGAGAGTGGGGCACAGACTACAGAACTGGACTCCTGGGCCCAATGCTGGTCCTGTTGTTACTGGCTGAGTGACCTTGGGCAAATTACTTGATCTCTCTGGACTTGCTTCTTCCTCTATGAAATGAACACAGTGGCCCCTCTCCACACAGGGTTGTGATGAGGATTTAGTAAGTGTGAACACAGGTGAAGCACGGGGCACAGCCTGGAGCATGGAAAACATCCTATACAGGCATCATCATCATGATGTCCCCAGTGCCATCGCCAGCAGCCTGGTCAGCTGCGCCCACTAGCTTTGAAGAGAAGGACAACCATTCTCCACCCCCAGCAGAGAGGTGGGGCCAGGGACTGCAACATCAGAGCCGGGGGGTGACAACAAGAGACCCAGCAGAGCATCCAGTACCCCAGGGAGGGAGAAAGGAATGGACATGTCTCGTATCCTTGCTGAACGTAAGCTGCTCTGACATCACAAACCTTCCAGAGGATGATCATCTACACTGCAACGGAGGCTCAGAGAGGGCATGCGTTTACCCAAGGTCACACAGCCAGGTCCCAGCAGAATGAAAATGAAAGCCAGGCCTGCCAGAAGGCCAACCCAGGGTCTTTCGGTGGCTCTGCAGAGCCTTGTGTGTGATGGGGTTCCTTCCTGGGGAACGGATGCCAGGACCCTGGAAGGGTGGGCTGCAGCCTCCCCAGCCCAGCCTTGACACAGCCCTATCCGAGCGGCCAGCTCAGAGATGTGGTGACTGCAGGGCAGGGTGCTCTGGGGCAAGGGGTCCAGCTGGAGAGAAAAGCCACAAACATACCCAAAGGGCACTGGTGACACTCTCCTTTCTTTGCTTCTTCCTTTCTGTCCTTCTTTCCTTCCTGCCTTCTTTCCTTCCCTCTTTTCCTTCCCTTCCCTTCCCTTCTTCCTCCCATCCTTTCTTCCTCCCCTCCTTCCTCCCTTCCTTCCTTCCCTTCTTCCTTCCCTCCTTTCCTCCCTTCCTTCCCTCCTTCCTTCTCTCCCATTTTCTTTCATACTATTTAAGGTTGTCACTAAGGAATACATGCTAACAGGAAACAGCTGAGGCGTTATAGAAGGCGGTATGGATGAGGCTCTGGAACATGCCGTCCCAGTTAAGTGGTTTCCCTGCGGCCACCCTCCAAAGCCCCAGCCACTCCCCCCAAATTCTCAAACCACACGCTAAAGAGAGACACAGAATATGAACGTGAGAACCAAGGAGTAGGGAGCTGGCATAGGAAACACGTGTGGCAGCCTCTGCCCCTCCCGGGTGGCTCACAATTCCTGCGCATCAGTCCCTTTGTAGTGCTCCCAGCTCCCGCAAGCGTGCATGCGCTCTCACTCCCCACCTGGGCCTGGCAGGGCCTCCTACTCCTCCTGCTGTGCTCCCAGCTCTGCGGGAGGCTATAGTCCTTGTTGACTCTTTGTCCCCTGACACTGAAGGCTCTGAACTTGCCACCAAGTCCTCGGTGCCTAGAACAGCACCTGCCTCAGAGGAGGCACCTCATGAATGCTGGCTGAATGAATGGGAGGCAGGGGTGCCGGGAGGAAAGGCATAGGCTGCATTTCCGGCATCTCCCGTCAATCAGGTGCTCTTACAGGTGGGGTCTATGCTTCTCTTTCCATCGTCTAATCCAGCCTGAGGCCCACCCTGCTGCCTCCACCACAAACAGGCGCGCTGGCCTCACCATCCACCTGCATTGCTGCCACAGCCAGGCCCTGCGGGGATCTGTTCCTGGCCTGTTCCAAGCCTTCTTGTAAGAACTTTTTATTGCTCCCCTAAACCCAACTTCCTTTTCCTGCTTTCAAGGCTTCTAGTTACTCCATCCTGACTTCCCCTTCACCTCACCTCCACCACACCCACAGGTACTCCTGCCCATCCAAGGCTGCATGGCTCCTCCTTACCTCTGTCCCTTTCCTCCTGCTTTACCTCACTCCATCCAATGAACAGGGCTTCGGGGTCAGAAGACCTGGGTTCAAAAGCCCCCTCAGCCATCTACTTGGATAGTTACCAAGGTCATCGGACTTTTCTGAGTCTCAACTTACTCATCTGTAAAATGGGAATCATCGGGCCTCACAGGGCCACGGTGAGGAGTTAAAAAAAAGAAATGGTGCAAAAGTTAGTCTGACATCCAGCCTTCCCAAACTCACGCCAACCGCTTCTGGACAGATACCAGCTTGCGTGTTCTTCCACACCAGGCTACCCCCAACTCCCACCTCCCCAGCTGGACTAAGAACTGTAGCTTCTTTTGTTTCCTCGAGCTCCTATCCGTTGAGGCCCTCAGTTGGCATCTCATCAATCCTGATGAGCAAGCAAATCAACACGAGAAAACTCAGCCCAGTTTGGATGTCCTGCAGAAAACATGCTGTCGGAGAGGCCCCATGGACAGCACTTTGATTACCCCATGACACACTGTCATACCTGAAATCCACACCCAGCCTGCAAACCCGAAGCCTCGTGGAAGATTAACCTAGAAAAAACTGCCCCAACACGTCGGGTGGACATGGTCCCACTACCATCCAAGCACTTGACGTTCTGGGAGTGTTTACATTCCCCCATTCATTCAATTCTCACAGTGACCCTGCAAGGCGGGTGACAGAGATTGCCACTCCTCAGCCAAGGAAACGAGCTCGGCGAGGATAATAAACGGACTCATTGGCGCTTGGTTTCTCAGAGAAAGGAAGAGTGGAACCCAGGTCTGTCCTGCTCCAAAGCTGGGCTCTTCTCCCAGTGCCAGCCCTTGCGGAAAGTGCAATTCTCCAGATATCCAGCAGTAGGCGCCACAAAGATCTGCCACCCACCACAAATGAGAGGACCTACCACCAAAGTCCCCAAAGGCAGCTCTGAAGTCCAAAGCAACATCAGCAGAGAAGGAGCCCTGGACAGAGCATGAGGAATGGGGCCAAACCCATGACGGGGGTAGAGGAGAGAGTGGCGGGCAGGGGGTGCAAATTTGGGCCATGTCACTTTATTTATTTTATTTCAGAGAGGAAGAGAGAGGGAGAGAGAGATAGAAACATCAATGATGAGAGAGAATCATTGATTGGCTGCCTCCTGCACACCCCACACTAGCGATCGAGCACTCAACCCAGGCATATGGCCTGACTGGGAATAGAACCATGACCTCCTGGCTCCTAGGTTGACACACAATCACTGAGCCACGCCGGCCAGGCCATGGGCCCGGTCACTTTAAAGGTGCCACACACATGGACACAGGAACCTTTCAAACAAGTGGAATGACTATTCCTGAACAGACCAGAGAGAGAGAGAGTTCCCCATTCCCACATCCTTCTGCGGGCCCCTCACCAGCGGCTACCGCTTACAGGCGTCTGATTGAAACAAGCCGGTCTGTCTCTGGTAGAAATCAGGACTCATGACCCTGGGTGGCCATAATGGTGATCACAGCTCACAGATGCCCACTTCAGACCCACCAGGGGCAGCGCCCACTTCAGCCTTTGCAAAGCCAGATCCGAAATGAACTGAGCCCTGTCTGGCTCCTCTTGGGCAGGCAGCGTGAAGGCAGGCGCCTTATAAACAGGGCCAGCGCCAGGCCTCCTGCCTCCTCCGGCACAGCTGACTTGCAGAGAAGAAAGACTCACTTCCCACAGGGGGAAACGTCTGTTTAGGCCACTGTCCTCCTGGGTACCAAACCCTCACATCTGGAAGTCTTTCTATCTGCTGTGAAGCAGCCAGAGTCACAAAGGGAAGGTGTGAACTTGGATGGAAAACTCTGGAAAAGCTAAGCCACCAGGGAGCTAGAGTGAAGAGGAACTTCCACCTCTGATGTGTCTGAAACCGGGTAAGTACGGAGACCTCTCGGTGACCTGCGTGGCTGGACTAATTACCAATGTTATCAGGCGGATGACAGACATGCCCCGAACTTCCTCTGTTTGGTAGATTCTGCTGCAAACACACTCAAGTTCAGGCCCATGCTTGCTGTTGTCAGCTGTGCCCTATTCTTCCACAAGACCACTCCTGGCCCCCAACTTCTCTGAGCTGGGCATGCCTCTCAGCCCAGCCAAGCCGGTACATCCACCCAACACCAGCCTGCTGACTCAGGCAGGGCACCTCCTGCTGGAACACACCACACAGAATCAGTGCTAACTCCTGGCAGAGAAACAGAAAACATCTCTTCTTTCCCTGCCTGGATGTCAGAGGATGAGATGAGAACCGCTGCTTACCTTTATCGCCGTTGCCACTGGGGAGCTCCAGCCCACAGGTCCCTGGCGGGTAAGCCCTTGGCCAGCACACACCAGCGTCCCACACTCCACACAGGCGCCGATGATCAGCTGCCGCCCGTCGTCCACCAGCAGGCTGTGGCTCGCCCGCAGGGTATAGAGAAACAAGGGCAGCCGGGCTACCCGCACAGCCTTCAACCCAAGACAACGCTTCCTCTCCTGCTGGCAGAAGAAGCACACAAACGTGTCCACTTGGTACTGCCGGGACCAGGCACTGACGGCATGGTGGGCACTGCGTGCCTCATGCTGCAGCCACTGGCCTAGCAAGTCGTGGTAGCAGAGCACGCAGGTGGCCACCAGGCCCGTGGAGTCGGCAGGCCTGGCGCGTGGAGCAGGTGGGTACACAGTGAGGAAGGGGAAGAAGGGTTCCTTCTCGCCCAAGCGACTGGAGGGGTTCACGTTGAGCTGGAACTCCTTCCCGGGGCCCAGCTCAGTCCCGCAGATGTAGCAGACGGACACGGCGCTGCCCTGGGTCGATGTGGGCAGCTCGGAGAGAGCAGGGTCAGAGGCAGGGAAGGCCTGGTGGTACCTGCCCAGGAAGCCCTGCACAGAGGTGATGAGCTCCTCATTCTGACAGGCCCGGTACAGGGCCCAGATGTCCTCCAGGATGCTGAAGCACTTGGGGCAGCTACGAACCTCACCGCGCTTGTTGGGGCCTCGGGCATTGGGGGGGCAGGGCAGGAGGCTGAGGAAGGGGAAATGCATGGTGCTCCTGGCATTGCCATTGAGGATCCTGGAGGCCACAGCCCGGGCATCAGGGGTGCAGTCCTCCCCACAGAGGTAGCAGGCCTCTGGCAGGGTCCCCGAGGTGGTGCCCTCCTCCCTCGGGAGCCTCCTGCCCTTGGAGGCCATGCCGGGGGCGTGGCTGTTCAGAGGCACCACGTACAGTCTCTGCAGGACAGGCACGCTGGCCAGCTCGAAGCTTTGCCACTGCTGCATGAGGGAGGAGAAGCAGCAGGGACACACCAGCGTGCTGCCGCCCTCGCTGATGGGCTGAGCCCCGGGAGGTGGGCTGTGCAGCCACAGGAAGGGAAAGAAGGGGGCCTGAGCCAGCTTCTCCTGCTTCTGCACGTGGATCTGGTGCTGCGAGGCCGGGGACAGTGCCGACCCGCAGATGTAGCAGCAAAGGCCCCCTGGTGGCGCTGGGCGGCTCTCCAGAGGAACCCGGGGGACGCGGCCACCGGTTTCCTTCTCTTTGGGGCCACAGGGGCTCGGGAGAGGCGGCTCCTTGCGGTCCTCCTCCTCGCTGGTGATGTGGACGTCACTGTCCTCGGAGAGGCAGTAGCCTCCACGGGGCTCCCCCAGGGGCCTGCTCTCCGGCGTCTTGGCGGCCCTGCCTGAAGGGGCTCCTCTCATGCCGTCTGCAGGGGCCACTGGGGCTGGAGGGCCTAGCCAAGGGCCTTGAATCCCTCTCAGGACACTGGCCCGGGCCTCAGGGACCCAGGGCCTCCCGACGCCCTTTCTCCGGCGCCGAATGCCGGTCTTGGGCTCCCCGTCCACGTGGAGCTTCGAGGGGTCCCCCTCCTCCTCCTCCACGTCACCCTGCGCGGGGGTCTCGGCGCTCTGTCCCGGAGGGGGGCTGGAGGGCCTAGCCAAGGGCCTTGAATCCCTCTCAGGACACTGGCCCGGGCCTCAGGGACCCAGGGCCTCCCGACGCCCTTTCTCCGGCGCCGAATGCCGGTCTTGGGCTCCCCGTCCACGTGGAGCTTCGAGGGGTCCCCCTCCTCCTCCTCCACGTCACCCTGCGCGGGGGTCTCGGCGCTCTGTCCCGGAGGGGGGGAGGGGGCCGTCCTCCCCTCCTGGCAGCGG